GCGGTTCGTTTAACTATTATACGTGATGTACGTCTTTTGGGAAGTGGTTAATGAAAGTGTTCCAAAACGCAATATTAATTTCTTGACGACCTAATAGCTTGCTCGATGCGCACCGCGCTTCAACTTATAAGTCTTACAAGAATGAGCAAATTTTAGGAGAACGCTAACTCTTGAGAAACTGAAAAATCTACAAAGCAATATTTAGGTTCCTAGTACCTTCGGAGAAAATATAACATTAGAAAAATCTAATTTTTTTAAGCGATACTTGGAAAAACTAGTTATTTCATTATTGATAGGTGAAAAATAAACAAAGATACGAGACTAATTCTATGAAGTTGTATGCACACAGCGGCATTGAGAATGATCAAACTGAAGGCATAAATATATGCAACAAATTGTTGACTAAATGGTTCATAGATGTCGCTGCCTACACCTAAATAAAACGTTATATATTTATGTTGTTTGAATGGAAGTGTTTAGCATAGATATCATGTAAATAATAGCTTGAGTATTCATAAAAAGGAAATTTTTCAGTGTCCCAAATCTGGAATGTCTTCAAAATAAGGAGATAATCTAACCCATTATTCCTTCAATCATGTACTTTTTTGGGGGGTTCATGCATTAAAACTATTATTTAATTTTTTCTTATTATATTTCACATCATAAAGTTCTTATGTATTGTGCATATTTTTCATTTTAAGCTAAAATGATTCATTTTGTGATTATCAATGAATAAATTTATGGGCTTTCTTCTGATATGCATAAAAAATATTTAAGTATAAGCGTTGAATTTCATATTTTCACTTTTTCTAAATTCTACACCACTTCAGAAGCTTGAAATATTACTCTATATTCAATCGTTTCTTTAAATGTTTTCTAATAACACTAATAAAATCTACGCTTTGTGTTAGGCGTTTATTGATTTTCTCCTTTTTTTTGTCTGTTTGTTCGATTGTCATTAGTAATGCCATTTCAAACGTTCTCCATCTGATAACTTTTTTGAACATTTTCCTCTTTCTGTATGTATATATATTTTTTATTTTTACAACCGGATATTTAAGTATATTTCTTTGTTTTAACACAAAGCTACACAGTAGGTTCTCTGCGTTCGAAAAATGCTCGGCATGGCCAGGTGGTTAGGGCACTCGACTCGCAATTTGAGGGTCGCGGGTTCGAATCCCCGTCCCACCAAACATGTTCGCCCTTTCAGCCGTGGGGGCGTTATAATGTGACGGTCAATCCCATTATTCGTTGGTAAAAGAGTAGCCCAAGAGTTGGCGGTGGGTGGCGCTGACTAGCTGCCTTCCCTCTAGTCTTACACTGCTAAATTAGGGACGGCTAGCTCAGATAGCCCTCGTGTAGCTTTGCACGAAATTCAAAACAAAGAAACAAGCGTTCGAAACCCCGGATGTTTGCGTTGCAAGCCCATAGACTTAACGCAGACCCACTGGAGGGCATTTAAAGTATGAATAATTTATATTGCCACTGATAAAATATTTTCAAATGTGTGAAAGCAATAGTTTAAGTGAATTAAGACAGAAGAAAAAGTTTCAATTCGGAATCCCTAAAAGCAATGTTTTTGAAAGTTTAATTGTCAATCTTTACATCTTTGTATAATTTTATTATAAGAAAAACATAGAGACGCAAATTTCTTGTAAACAGAATTAAATATCCCCAGCTGTGAATATAATGTTCCAGAGAAACAGCTACGAAAAAGAATTGAATGAAGGGGTTACACGAATGTTCAAATATTAAACAAACCCTAAATGCAAACCCACTAAGCAATGCTAAAGTTGTAAAAACCTAAATGAAAACTCATAAGTAATGCTAAAGTTGTAATAAACCCTAAAGGAAAACCCATAAGCAATGGTAAAGTTGTAATAAAACTTAAATGAAAACTCATAAGCAATGCTAAGTTGCAGTAAACCCTAAATGAAAACCCATAATGCTAAAGTTATATAAAACCTAAATGAAAACTCATAAGCAATGGTGAATTTGTATAAAACCTTAATGAAAACCCGAAAAGCAATGCTAGAGTTGTAATATTATTTCAAGGAAGTCGCTTTTGCTTCAAGTAACTACTTTAAAAAAATTAAAATACATCGTAAATAGTTTGTGTGTATATGTGTGTTAGCAGGAACTAAAAACTTTGGATAGCTACTACATGAATAATAAAAAAAAATTAACGTTACCGAAAAATTCAATTAACGATGAGTTACGAAAAAAAAAGCAAACAAAACTTTAACCGTGCCTTACTTTCAGACAAATGAAAACTATGAAAAAATACCATCATAAGACTGAAAATATATGAATCAACGAACGCTAGAAAATCTTTCAAATTGGGGTTTTTAGGGCGATGATTAAGTCGATTATTTTTTGGGTTAGCAATAAAATATTGATGCTAAATCCAAAAACTATTATAACTGTTGTGACTACATTCTTTAAGAAATGGACACAAGCTCTCGTAGGTCGGAATATTCAAACTCGCCATTATATAGATGAGGGAAGCGGCTATACGGTATCGTGTGTAATTACAGAGGCTACAGCATGTAATGGAGATTTATGGCCCTGTTTATACTGTGGTCCTGTGGTCAGTCGGTGCCGTGAAGACTGGACGATTAGTCATTCGTCCGAGTCAACAGGCAGATAGCAGGTGCAGAGATTCATACATTGTTGCAAACATTGATTTCACAAATTTCACTTAACACAACTTTCATGTGAAACTACACACGTATACAGCTGATATATTTTAGTTATCTTCAAACCTACACCAACGACTATGCGTTTCGTTTGTAGAAATTACACTTAGAGTGCTATTAAAATGTATTACCGTAATGGTGGTCACGACCGAAGGTACTCTCAATCCAGCGAATAGCAACGTTAAATCTTAACTATTAAAAGCATTGATCCATAAAGAAGTACACCATTTTGATAAATGTTCTTCACGAACATCGTATTTTTTTTTAAAACTCCTCTGGCGGTTAATTTCCGAGATAAAAATGTATGAATCATCTCCTATAAAAAATACAGAAATACTAAATTGTGTCAAATGGGATTTATTTAATCTATAAATAAATGAACAACTACTGTTAGGCTTCCAGCTAAACTTTTCCCAGTGTTATAACTTCCCAAACACATTTTGTATTATTCTTTCATACTCGAAAAACACACGTAGGATAGGAAAACATGTTAAGGAAACCTGATAATCCAGGTGCGGTTTCAAAAGGTAAAGCTTTCTTTTTCGGAAGAGAATTGAGAATTGTTATACTATTTAATTATCTAAAAACCAGAAGCCAGAAAAGTTCCAAGGATTATCATCTTAGTTCTAGGAGTATTTGATAAAGGAAAATTGTTTTAAATAATTTACAACAAAGCATGTAATGCATACAAATGTATATGTATAAATATGATATATATATATATATACATTAAGTTCAAAATATTTCCCATAGCAATATTTATAGATAAAAGTTTCTATTCGCCCGGCAGTCGGGTATTAAATGAACG